AGAGAGAGGGGGAGAGAGTTTACCACCAAAGCAAACTAAAATAGGCCGTCCAACAAAACAGTATAGTCATGATCTTTTGACCTTATTGATTGAATTTAGCCGTTTGGTGCAGCATGTTCACTGGCTAATTAGGTTTGTAATTATCAATTGTGAATAGTGGATAGAAGAAAAACACATTTTCTATATTTCTAACAGAAATGATCCTAATTGAATTAAAGATTTATTTTTTGTTGACTGATATTTCACCTTACACCTAGTTTTTAATTCGTTGTTTATTCAACTATTTTCTAAAAATACTGTACGCGATGTAAATCAAGACTGTATACTTTTTGGAGGCTTATGCCGAAAGGGTGGGTAGCGTCGCCTTGACTTGAACGTGACCATTCGTCCAAAGAACCCCCCCCCCCCCGGTTGTCAAATAAAACGTTCGTAAAAATAACTTTAAGTCATATAAATTTTTGTCAAATTAAATGTGTTGAATAATATTCTTGTCGAATAACATTTGTTGTCAAATAAAACTTTTCAAATATTTTGCTGAAACGTGTTGAATACTATTAAATACATTTTAGTGAAATATATTTTCCATAGGGAAAGCACCTTAGTAGAAAATTGCTCTGAAATAAATCAGAAAGATTAGAGGGGGAGGTTGGTAAAATTTTGAAGGAATTCGGTCAAACGAAAGTTATGAATTCCTGAAAGGTGGAATTATAATTGATCCGATCTATTTAAAACATTCACACTCCGCTTCTTTCTTATTTGTCTGCCTCGTGCATAACAACGTTGGAATGCCCTTTAATTTTTAATCCTAAATTTAGTCTTGAATAGGCCTACAGCTGCGTCAGTGGTCATTGTCATGTTTCAGTTTGCAATACCAATTTATCATAAGAGTCATAAAAGTAGAAAATAATTATGATTGGTAAAATGTGTATCATTATTGATGAATTGCATTAAAATGTAAATAATGCATGTGGACGGTGCTCTGTAGACTCAGGCGCGTACGTAAGATTTTTTCGAGGGGGGGGGGGGGGTTAAATTTTAAAATGACACCGAAAATTTCATAACGACTCAGCCAGCCGCTGATTAAGCGGGGGGGGGGGGGGTAAGAGGACTTCTTTTTTTTTTTGGTACCAAAATTGGAAAATTTTGCCTATCGATATTTCGTTTGGGGGTCACCCATTACCATAATTTTTTTTTTGTATAGATGTTTTTTTGTTTTTTTTTATTATTAAAAAAACGCAAAGGGGGGGGGGGGGGTTCCTAAAAACACACACATTAAAAAAAAAAATTTGGCGACCATTAACACACAGGGAAAGTTCTCGCTCGACGGCAACAACGTCCGAACTGCGCATGAGTGAATTTGTTTTGATTTGATTTAATTTATTGGTTTCTGCATCTTTTTTCTTTCTTTTTTCATCATACATTTTCATGGACATAACATGGCTTGATACAATATTTAAGTGTATATAATTTTATACAGATAATAAACGAAATTTAACAAACTATTAATATATTGAATGCATAATTAACATACATTAGATGCAGGAGGGCTACAGAAATAAGCAAAGTAGCTTGACGTGTCTGCAGCCCTCAATTTAGATACAACAATAACAAATAAAAATAAAATAGAGTGACTTGCAGAGAAGAAAAGGAAAGGGGATAGAAGGAGCGTCGGTAATAATACAATAAATCTCATACATCTGCTGATTGAATGCAGGTTCATTCATGGATGGATAGACGATGCTAGGTCATGGACGATTGCACATCATTGTTGAATGTACAGTCAATGTACACGCGAACATGAATACAGTAGAATCAGGAAGCTGTAATGAATGGAGATCCCGTCCAAGAGGCCCCTTTGAAGTCATCCGTGGCACCGCGCGTCTTTTGTTTCCCCTACCGTAATCCCCTTAATCCCCCTCCAAAACCTTACAGCTCCTTAGTAGCACTAAGTCCTCCCTTTCCACACACAGCCCAGCCCAGCGAGCACGGCGGCTTTTGCTTTGCCGGCCCGTACTTTGGGTGAATAGTGGTGCTAACTTGACAACTTCTAGCCCTAAATCAATAAATGCGCAAACATATAACACAATTTCATTTAGTTCTTTAGGAAGATAAACCTATGGACTACCTTCCTAGCTATGTACAAATTTCGGAAATTTTCGGAAAATGTCAATAATTAGATGAGAAAATCATGATTATGAAAATCTTTCATTCACTCTAACTCATGATTTCCTTGGTCGATTTCGCTGGTTAAAATGGCCATGTCTTTAGTAGAGCTATCCGAGAACGGAAAACGCATTTGATGACTAATAGAAAGTTGCATTGGTCATATGTTGTGAATTCTGCATTTTATATGTTATAGCTAAATACATCTTCCATGAACATGACTTAATTTGTCGGTGCCACGCATGGCTTCAAAGCCCGATGCTTGCATATTTTTGCAAACGAGTGAATAGAGAACTTAGGGAAGCAGATGGCGTTGCGTAACATTTCGTACTATTTGGAATGCCAGAGAGGGACTGTGCATTGATATGGACAGCTGTTGATGGAAATGATGGCTGGAGAGGGTTACATTTCTTTTTGTTAAGCCAGGTTAATCTTGAATAATTTTCCCTCGGAAAATTCTTTCGAGACGGTATCTCCATTCATTACAGCTTCCTGGTAGAATTACACACGACAGGATCAACACTTAAACAATAACATAGTTTCAACCGCCTTATTAAAAGAATACAATGTCCTAAGATTTCTTATTACAATGGGCAGAGAGTTCCAGATGTCTGGGCCGGTGTGTCTGATGGATTTGAGAGCCAATGCGGTTTTTGGATTTCTTAAATGGAATTTTTTTCTGTTCGCCTTGTAGGGTAAGAGTGGATGGTTTTATTCAAATTAAACAATGGGGAAAAGTATGAATTAATAGACCATTTTGTAAGCGAAACATGAAAAGTGCTATTTGTAGAATATTTATATCATCAGCTTTTAGAGCTTTTAGTTTTGAAAACAAGGGATTGGTGTGGTCGCGATCAGTACATATACGCATGGCTTTCTTTTGTAACAGTAAAATGGCGTCAACGTTGCTTTTCGAATTTGCCCATATAATGTTACAATATGAAATATAAGGCAGTATTAATGAATTATATAACATAAACAAGATATTTGAAGGAACATAATATTTCAATTTACAGAGAATACCAATATTACGTGAAATAGTATTAGAAATATATTTCACATTATTATTCCATCCCAGATTTTCATTGATCAAACACCAAGTAATTTTGTGCTATCCTTTTTTTTCCAATAATTCACCATCCAAAGTAATTTTAATGTCAGGAATATCGTTATTTTGCCTGTTCTGAAAGTATATATAGTTTGTTTTCTTTAAATTAAGAGACAGTTTATTACTTCTTAACCATTTTGATGATTTTGCTAATTCAGCGTTAATATTTCTTAAAAGGATCTGAAAATCTGAATTGGAACAAAATGGATTGGTGTCATCAGCGAATAAAATATACTGATGAATTATAAATATCATTTACATATATCAAAAATAACAAAGAGCCGAGGATTGACCCTTGTGGCACTCCAAACGTTATGATGCGCGCTTGGAATCATGGGATTAAATAAATCGATTGTTGATTCTCAATATCATTCACACACACAGCGCCCGGCAAACTATCGCCATTATTCTGAAAAATCGCAAAAATTTGCTGCGAATTAGATCGTGAAGCGAATCGCGAAGATTAGTAAAATTAATCTGTCCACACTCACGCAAAAAAACTTAAAAATTGAAACGCGATGCAAAAATCGAATTTTAAATTTCACTCTTTTTTTTTCTGTAGGTGTGAACACCCCAGTGTAAATGATATAAATGCACTGGGCGCGATGCGATTCATTATCAATGAAATTCATCTATCAATAGAGGTATAGAAAGTAAGTGTAAATGATAAAAATTCTCTAGGCGTGAAGGTTGCTTCCTCCTCAAAGTTAAACAGTATTGTTATACCTTTCTCTTTCTCTCTCTCTCTCTCTTTCTGTCATTTTTCTCCCTCCATCTTTTCTATCTTCCCCTCTATTCCTTTTTTTTTCTTATAGAAAATGTATTAAAAGTCAATACAAAAAGTAAAGAATTCATTATCAATATAAATTATTTATAAATGTATATATAAAATAATTACAATTGATTAAAAAAAAATAAAGAGAAAAATAATCTCCCCACGCTCTCTTCCTCAAAATTAATTCACAGTAAAAAAAAAAAACCCGTAAAAACCATTTTGTTTTAAAGTATGAAATATTTTTATATTTCGTAAGAAAAAAAATTGTAAACAATAAAGGTTCTTCATGAAGGTAGAAAGTAATTATACATGTAATTGGTAAATTTGTATTCTTAACAAAATACTGGCATGTTCCTTACTCGTCAAATACACGTTCTCTCTCTCTCTCTCTCTCTCTCTCCTGAAATTGAATTCACAAGCAAAACATTTAAGAAAAAAGGGATAGATAATTATTTTCAAATTTTATCTCTCTTATTTCTCGCTCTCGCTCTCCCTCATTCCCTCTTTCCCGCTCTTTCTCACTTTTCTAAAATGAATTTACAAATAAATTGTATAGGGTAGAACAGTGGAGAAATATCATTCGCCGCTCTAATAATATTTATTATCTGATGCCAAAGTCTACCGAGAGTCGGAAGGGCTTAACTCTACTGTATAAGCAAAATTAAATGAGTTAACGTCCTTGAAGCACTCTGCAAGCTTTCGCCGGTCTAAACGCGCAGGTGTCTTATGTGTTTTCTTAAACAGGATGATGACGTACGTTTATACCTGTTCTAAACTTATAAATATGGTGTCACTGGTATACATTTTCATTCCGTATACCCGATATTGAAAGACTGCCATATCTTAGTTTTAAACAGACCAGGTTGTAGAAAAAAAGCTATCAGCTTTAACAGATTACTTTTTGACTATTTTGTCAAAGTTTTCAATTTAGAACCAAACGAAACTGACGGTACGATGAAAAACCTGTCTGTAAGCGTGGAGCCGTATACATCTTTCTTCGACGATGCCAGTGACGACAACTTCGCGACCACGGTCGAGACGATCGTTGATGGCAGCGGTGGGTCGACGCGTTACAAGTCGATCGACAACCTCCAGGGCCTTATCCTGGGAACGAGCCTCGTCATCCTTATCATCGTCACCAACCTGATCAGCCTCGGCGCCTTCGCTGTCGAGAAGCGTCTTCGCACCTACAACAACTACTTCATCATCAACCTCGCCCTCTCTGATCTCGTCCTAGGGATCCTCCAAATCGTCGGCGTCATCCACACGTTCACCGGTTACTTTCCAGGTAGCCCAGAATTCTGCAAGGTCTACCTAGGTCTGCGGTATTCAATGTTCTCCGTCTCCGTTGTCGGTGTCGTCATCATCTGCATCGATCGACATCGTGCGACCTACGACCCCATCAACCACTATATGACAAAAAGCAAGCGCAAAGCCGTCATCCTTAACATTCTACCCTGGGTCATCTCCTTCAGCTTCTGGATGTTTTACACCACCGTCTGGGACTTCATCGTTGATTCCAACTCCACGAAGAGCTGCCTCGCCTCGTTCGCGAGATACCCCGTCGCCAACATGTTCCAGACTGCCTTGACCTTCTTTCTCCCGCTCGCAGTCATATCTGTTCTCTATCTCCGAATCTACATCAAGATCAAGGAAACGGTCGGAGGCAGGAGTATCAACAAGCAATTCGGGGAACATGGTGGAGGTGAGATGTCGAAGTCGACCAGCCTGACGACTGTCTCTAGTGATTTGTCATCCAGTGGAACGGTAGAGATGAAGGAATCGAGCGCTCAAGTGAAAACCAACGGCGACACCTCCGGCAAAGGCGGAAAGGTAACGTTTCAGAAGATGATGCGATCAGAATTCTGTTTGATTTGATATGCTATGGTACGATTTGATTTAATTTGAGATGATTAGATTTGATTTGATTTGATGTGATTTAATTTGATTTATCTCGATTGGGATGGGTTTGGTAAATTGAATGAAATTTAATGACTGCTATGAGAGACATAGCTGTTTTTAAACGCTCAAGGGGAGGTTACATGATCGTGCTATCGCCCCGAGGCGTCCCGAGGGGTGATAGCACGAACCTCTCCGAGAGCCTATACAAACACCTATGCCTCGAATAATAAAGCAGTCATTATAACTTTTACATACTGAAAAGGGTCATAGAATACATGTGCGACTTACCAATCATGGTAATCAAGTTTGTTTACGCTATCGAGACCTAGTCTTATTAGGGTGTCTGATCGCGCACCACTCGAGTTTGTGTGCTATAATCCTTCCCGTTGAGATTGCACGCGTATACGTAAAATGCCCAAACCGTGAAAAGTGCCCTAGGGCTTTTTTCAAAAGACTATTGACCGGTTTGGCATTTTACGGGAATGGCTAAAATCACGACTCCAATTTCGACCAATCAGATGGCTGGATTTCTAAAATGAGGTATATAATACATTTTATATTTTGCTTCATTCATCAAACAATACCGGTGTAAGGATGGATTAGGGGAAATATAAAGCCTGTGCCCTTTTATACAAGCCTGTGCCCTTTTATAAAAACCAGTTCGGCATATATTTGAGTACAATGTTCTTCCAATGCCCCATCCAAACTTTCAGCCCAACTTTTGGACTTGTGCCCAAATTCAACAAAGTCGTACATTCACACTGCATTAAAGATGTCCTTTTTGCAGCAAACATCAAATTCTGTAGAACTTTGCAGGAATTATGAATATGTCATGTATGTCCTATCTGTGAAATTTAAACGTTAGCAGTGTCCTAATACTCAAATTATGCAAGGAAACCCATTTGCTTGCTAGACTTCATTGTCGGACACTATTAAGTGACTTACTGGCTTTTTCTTCTTTGGTATTAACATACATAAAATGAGCTGGAAAGGGTACATGAGCATTTGTCTACATCGATAACCCACTTCTTGTAATGACCAAAGTTAAACTGATTAAATCTTTGCGCAGCATAAAACGTACGACCATTCGATACAATGGTCTAAAAATCAGACTATTACTTACTGGCTATATAGCTCTTTAGTCGATTAGACAACTAATAGTCGTTATTTTACCACTTAAAGTCATTTTCAAGCCCCCCTTTTTTAGGGAAGTTCTAAATTAGTATTATATTTCAAATGCCGTTAGAATTTAACCTTTTCATTTTTGGCCTGCAAATGGGACATAGTACCTTTAAGTGTAATATTGCAGCATAGGGAATTATATAATTTTATAAAGGTCTATGCCTTATCAGGAAAACTAACATTTACCTGAATTTAAAGAGGTACCTTAACATGATTTGTTAGATCAATCAATCAAATTGCTAAGCAAGAAAACCAACTACGTGACTGATATTGAATATACTTCTTAGGGAGTACTTTCAAGATATAGACCAGTTTTGGAAACGCCCCCCTCACAAAAAATGAAATGGAAGCTCTTATTTAATACCAATCATGTGAAAGAATTTGTTTTGACTAATACGTGATGATACAAATGCCGGGAAACCGCCTACTAATTGATATATTAGGTAAAATATCATATCGATCCGTCCTGGAAAGATATCGCACAGTCCCATATAATCTTTCTGTGTTCAGTGCTTGTAACTTACCAAGACTGGGCCAATTTTCTTGCCATTTTGATGATTCCAGAACCTTGCAGTACACACCAATACTTATATGCTATATGATAAACCTTTTCTGATCGATTCCACAACGTTTTTTTCACAATGCAATCGCATGACCAGAACTGGTCTATGCCTTTAAAGAAATAGATCTTAATCTATTAACGTTTGGAACATCAAGATAGCTCATGACGAAAATGACCAAACAGATAATAACAACTGGGCAAAATGATCAAAATGTCCCATTAATGATTTCGAAATTATTCGAAGCCTCTTTCTTAAAGGTAATACAAAGTTTTGGGAAATTTTGAAATTGGGTGGATAGTGATTCTTTACAATTTTGATATATTTGGATGCCCCTGTGGATGTATTATAAGCACTAGAAATGTATCCCCTGAAACAATTGTGCTTTCGAGAAAAATTGAATATAACAATTTACCGGTGCTCCCGGTAAATTTTGATAAATTTTTAAATAGCGCCTGCGGCCGTATAATGTTAGCTGTGAACATGAAAACCTCAGACTATGTAGTTGTGATATATAATTTCTAAACGGGAATAGCTAATCGGTCGATTTTAATCAAGAAACATTGTTTTATATGTGTGTGTGTGTGTATATTGGGTTTTTACAGACGTGTATCAATCAGATATGATTATTTACGTCTGGGACCGACCTTTAAACGTCACCATCCGAAAGACGTGACTCAGTTTCGAACCTGCGTCCTCGGCTGAATCAGTTTGTAACTTCCACTTTTTAGCTGGATTACAGGCGCACGCCACAACGCCTAGTTGTGGACTAGCTTAATTAATATCTTGACTTTGAGAGGGAGCTATACAACATAAAGAGTTAATTATTTACAATTCCATAACTTTAGACTCGATTCAACCGCAACAACGATCACTGAATATTGTAGGATTGCTTATGCTTCCAACATGTTCATTTGAACCAAATTCTTAACCCCATACCAAAACTTTGTGTTACCTTTAATGGCTTTCACGAAATGCGCTCAGAAAAAATTCATAACATCGGCTTACTTCGAATCATCGGGTCAGCGCGTCGGGTCGGGTCTGGTGGTCGAGTTTACCGACCTGTTGTAAAAACATGACTTCATTCAAGATATGTGTGGGGTAATGTTTGTAAAATAAACCCTCTAATTTACAAATAGTCTGGCCAATTTACCCGACACTGTCTTAGTGAAAACCCTATGGCAAATATATGAAAGGTCGCGTCCTAAACGCTTATCTTCACTTGATATTCCGCTTTCGTTTCACGTTTCAGGGCGCGAAGACTGACGACTCGACTTAAGCCCAAAGAAACAGACATTTTTTTTAAATTCTAACCCGCCGTGAATAATAGCCTCATCTTTTAGCTTAGAACGTTGGAGTAGTTTAATTTACATTTACGCACATTTTTTTAATTTTACAACTTTTTAAACAACAACAATTGAATAAGTACATGTATATTGTTAATAGATTTGGGGGATAATATTTTCGTAAATTCAATTTGAACATAATTTTGATGCGAATTTCATTCCTCAAATTTGAATCTTTGACCCGTTGGGGTTTTATAAGTTAATTCTATTTATAAGTGTTTTAGACCTTAGAAAGAAAAGGAAAAATTAAAAAAATGAAATCATACTACCCGTTTTATTATCATTTTGTCCTCGCATTAAAAAAAGACTCGGGCACAATTCAATAAATTTGTTTATGGTGATCCAGAAATTTCAGATTAATAAAAAGAAGAAGAAATTGTATAGCGTGTGCATTAAAGGAATGATTTTTAGAAAATCTTTGTGCAATTTATGATGAATAACCTATACTTTCTTGACGAAAGAAGAAGAAAGAAAATTTAGATTCATGAAAGAAACTAAGAAGTTAACAGCAATTGCAGTCAATAAATAAACCTTTATTCTATGCAGTAAATGATTAGCCTTCATTTCTAGACGAAAAGCAGTAACGCTAGAGAAGGAAGAAAACAAAAAACAAGTACGGGTTAACCTTTTACTTTTTTGTAGCCCTTTTTACGTTGACGCATTATAATTATCCTATTCTATTCCGACTCAGCCACGACTCAGTCACAATTCAATTCAATTAAATTCTGTTCATGGTATTTCTGAATATTTAGTTTCATAAAAGAAGAAATTTATAGATGTGCGTTGACGGAAGTATTCTTTATTTTTGTGTAATGTGTGGGGGCTGGGTGACGATGCAAGTCGAGTTTCCTAGGTAACTTTTGTAAGAACTTATCAAAAACCTTGGACATGTCGAAGAGAAAATGTTGTTTCCTTGGTTACCTTTCCGTTAGATATTAAAAGAAAACCCTACACCGTGAACCGGTTAAAGGCCCTATTCAAATATGAAGTCTCAACTCGAGTTTTTGAGTTGTTCTTATATTATTGTTAACCTGTAATTGAATTACGTTGCGGAACAAATGTTGAAGCGCTTTGTAATTTCAAGGGAAAATTCCATACTATTCTTTGCACTTTGATTTGAAAGGAAGATTATCCTTCAGTAGAAAAGTGGGAGTTATTGAAATTTGTTGGAGGATGGGGTATTGTAATGAACTGATTCAACCATTGTCGTGATCAGACTCTGTTTGAGGCCTAATGGATCTTTAAGCGTGCGATGTGATGAATTATCTTGACTTTCCCTTGAATTAAGACGAAGATGTGATTGCGCACATAATGAGAATAACTCTGAATTCAGACCGTTACGCTATCAGGAATGAAAGGACCGGAGATGATTCACTAGAATATGGCGAGTCTTTTCACGATGAATTCAAGGAACGTTAATATCAAAAGAATTTATTTTGCAGATACAATAAAGATCTCCCCTTGGGAATCGGTTTTGTATAGTTTACGTTGATGCATTTCTGGAGATTGCAGAATTATCAAGTGACATTGTCCTCATGATTCTTCACACTTTTTTATTTGCATTTTGTTGAACGATTATAACCTAAAACCAATTCTCTTGACTCCTTGACCTACAGGTGGAAGCCGATAGTAATCGTCCTGCTACTGCCAACCGCGAATCCACCAATGAAATGCAGAAGGCCACCCGTACCCTATCCTACATCGTGTTTTCATTCGCGATCACCTGGCTCCCCAATTCCATCATCTATTTCCTGTACGCCATCGATCCAGAGCTCATCGCTTACGAGAAGTTGCCCAGAGATTTGAAACAGTTCTTCGTCTGGGTTCAATACGCAAACAGCTTCTTTAATCCTATCTGTTACTTGGTGTCGCAGCCGCTCTTTCGAAAGACGATCGTCAACATGTTGTGCCGCCCTCGCCGTTACTGCTAGACCAGAACCCCCCCCCCCCGGCTTAGAGCCCCATACCTCCCCAAATGCTAATGTGATACCTACCCTTTTGTGTGGCTAATCTTTATACATATAATTTTATTACCATAAATGCAACTGTATATGATTGTGAGCATCTTTATAATTATACTTTTCTTTTTTTGTTCAATGACATTTTTTTTCGTCATCCCCCCAACTCTTCACAAACCCCGGATCTGTACGCATGCATACCGATGTGTTTTTTTTGAAAATAGTAAATTTATTGGCATTTTTTTTTAAAAATTTAGACTGCATTATAATTTATTTGACACCACAATAGATGTACATGTTATCATCGTTGTAATATTTCTATTAAAATGTTAAAAGATCGCCCGTTGGATCAGTGGTAGAGCAGGTGTCGCGTAACAGCGAGGTCCCGGGTTCGAAACCAAGTCTATGTGCTAGTGCCCTTAGGTAATGCATTAATCCTTATTTACAAGTTCCTCGGAGATGCCTTAAAGCCATCGATCCCTAAGTTGCAAACTTACAGTCATATGCTTTCTTAGCATTCAGGTAAAACACTACAGGATTGTAAAGACCTTAAAAATCAACCTTAAAGCTTATCTGCCGTAGTTTACAGAAGGGATTAGAGCGCCCTGCAAGGTCGCTGGACATGTGGTTATCTCATCAACTCAGCTCTCAGTTAACATAAGAAAAAGAGGATCATGGGGGACCAATGGTCACCGATTAGACATTGTTTGTTATATAGAGGGCGCAAGTAGCTACAAGTAGTGCAGTGGGCCTTTAAACAAATTAATTGGTCTCAACATTAGTGCAACACCTTTGAAATCTGAAATAATTATTGGTTTATTATAAAGTATATCTATTGCGTAGACTATAAGCCAGTTTACGGTTGCAGTCTGAGCATGAGCAGATAAAGGTAATTTGTACCAAAAAGGTAAAACCCACAGAGATGATTACTGGATATGCGCTCATGAAAGTTATGTAACATTATTCATTTATGCACCAGCGGTACATTCTAAGATACGCAGGTGGATGTATTCTTTTCAAGAGGGCAAACAAAAGGTATTCATGAAGCACATCTCGGACTTTGGGAGTTATTATTCTAATATGCTCAAAGTGGAACTTCTCCATGTGTAAAAAATCTGTGGATATTTGGGGTCATTACCATGTGCTATCTGTAAAATCCCTTATTCTACAGTCTTTGTGCTCGTTCGCTAATGCTTTTACGCAAATCTATAAATTCAGTGCGATTTGAAGTGAAATTTGTCGCTAATTGGCGTATTTTCTCGCAATTGTGCGTCTCCAACGAGTCGCAGTCCGGTAAGATCCTAGCTTAATTGTCGTAGCTTGGTATATATATGCACAGTTATGTAAAAAACATATTTAAAAAAAAAAAAAAAAAAAAAATTGTTTGCAAAATAGGCTTATTACATTGATTTAAAATAATAAGATTTTGTAATTAACGTGCATTTATTATTGCCTAGTACTGTTTAGATTATATTGTATATTAATTTATTAGTATCGTTTTGTATATTATATGTATATTCATCTATCAATCAGTTAATCATTTCATATTTTGCATTTATTTGTAATTGCGTGTGCAAAGTAGGATTCAAAGAAGGCCTGTAGAAACCGAATCTAAGATATGATGTGTGGGTTCATACTTGTCATTATTATGATCTTAATACAGCAAGTATACGATTGATAACACAGCACATATTTCAATGCTATTTGTTATTATGTGCTCCAACAAGATAAATCATCTTCTTTTCTGTAGAGAAAGGTATTCTGATGTACCAATTTAACATGTATGTATGTATGTACATAAGATTTCATGGTTATTACCATTAATGTTTATTAATTTATCATACATGTTTTGAAAGAGTGTTATATCCCGAGTCGTTTAGTTTTATTTTTGTGTGATATGTATTCACGCTTGGATGAACAGAGGCATTGTTTCCGAGAGTGCAAAAAATTGACTTGCGAAAAAGCATTAAAGTGAGAGAATGAATTGAATGGATCAAATGAAATGCATTGTATATGCTTTTTCAGAAACAAAGTCACACGCACACGCGCTCGCACGCACACAAACGCATTCACACACACACGCAACAGGGGCGGATCCAGGAATTTCTTTCCGGGTAGGGGAAGGGGGACACACGGTGGGAAAGAGAACATATATATATATATTTTTTAGTCCCGAAAAAAATCGCAACGACTCAGCCAGCCGCTTAAAAAAAAAAGGGGGGGGGGTAAGAAGACACTTTCTTTTTTCTTTTTTGGTCACGACATTTTTAAATTTGACATTTTGCTCGGTTGGGGGGGGGAGGGTAAGGCCATCTTTTTAGGTCAGCCATTGGCATATTTTTTTTTTTTGTGGCCGGGGGTGGGGGGATTGACCCACATTCGTTGCTTCAGCTCTAACTTGGTACCAGCGGATTTTGACAATACTTTTTGAAAAGCCTGCTGTTCAGTCATCCTTGCCAGCACAATTATGAAAACAGTATCATTAGACAGGGTATTAGTTCTTCTTTACCGGATACCGGATACCGGCGCTATATAAATATCCATATTATTATTATATTATTATATGATTCAAGGTCACACAGGTTATACATTTTCAATTAGAAGCTACCAAAGTTGGGAACACTTTTTGTATACGCACTGTACACCTGTTTTATTTCCCCTTTCTCCTTCTCTCTACTCACCTCCACCCAGGCGCGTACACAGGGGGGGGGGGGGGGGGGTTGGGGGTTGAACCCCGCCCCCTTTGGTATTTTTATGTGTGTAAACCCCCCTAAAAAAAACCCCTTTGTTTTTTTTTTTTTTTATACAAAGAAACATGCCATGAATTAACCTTTACATCACATCAAAGAATTTCTTTCTCCTTCAATAGAAGAGACGCCCCTCAGCCATCAGCCATTTGGACTCAAAAAAAAGAAAGAAAAAAAAGTGTCCGCTTACTCCCTCTCTCTTTCTCTCACTCCCTCATTTTCCCTATTCCCGTCTCATTATGCAGCCCTTTTCTCTCTCTCTCTCTCTCTCTTTCTCTCTCTCTCTCTCTCTCTCTCTTTCTCTCTCTTTCTTTCTCTCGTTCTCTCTCTCTCTCTCTCTCTCCCCATACTCACTTTCATTCTTTCTTTTCCACATGTATACTTGCATCTCTCCTAACTCCTTAAACATTTAAATGCACTTGTTTAATGTAATATACAGGGTAATATTTATTTGTAAAAAATTCAGCAAGCAATATACAAACGAAATGTATCCACTTAAAAGTTAGTGCCTATAGTAATCACTCAACCATATTATACATGAAGACTGAAATAAAGCCTTATTACATAATAAGCCTACACTATGTCTCCGTGACGAATATCGAATGAAACTGACTTCCTTACCCGGCAACAGAATATTCACTCTAGTACAGAACACTAATGAGCTACATTGATGAATAAGAAAATTTAAAATCATCATAAAATGAATAAATCACTGGTTACATTTTCTTTGGGTCTATGCTAGATGTACATGTATAGGTCCTACATGTTTAATGAGAGAAATGGTGAGGAAAGATTATGAGTGAACTACATGACTATAGGCCAGTATAAGAATTGAAGAGTCGGTCCCATAAAAAATAATAGACTGTAAAAACCAACCAATCTCACACAATAGGGACTTTTAGATTTGCGTGGACTGATACGTGTGACGTCCATTCGAGGCAGTGCATTAGAAGGACGTCGATCGTAGCAATCCATGTTGTCGTTGTGCAAATCTAAAAGTCCCTAATAATGTGTGAACGTGACCGTGACATATTTCCTGATACGAACATGATTTCCTTGGGCTATACAATAATAATTATGATATTGATTGTAATTTAATTGATTCCTGGAAAGCGTTCGAGGCCATGTGAAACGTTTATCATAATATTCATACCTTCTAGTCTATTCCATCAAATCATATAAAGTGTGTTCTATGGAAAGCTTCCTGGTAGATTACTTAAACGCGCGATCGCATAGACTTTCGCGAATCAGCTCAATATCCTGTTGTATATTCCATGGAAAGCATGTCGTGATTACGTCATACTTCGTTGTACGCTGCAATATCCGAACATTTTAATACGCGGTGGTAAAGGCTGTCAAAATGTCCTTACTAAAATAGGTTTAATTGTGATTTTTTTTGAGGGGGATCATTCTTGGAATTAATTTCGATAACGACCCCCTGCTATCTACTTGTCTCTACAAAATTTCAAATGAGATGATAATGATATGCCTTTAAAGGCAGGCTTTACTACTTCAGCTAGAAGGGATTAGACCACCCAGCGAGCCAGCGAGGTCACTGTGACAGGTGGCTATCTCATTAACTCAGCTCTCATTTAACATAAGAACAAGAGGATAATGGGGGACCAACAGGCGCTGATTGGGGAAGTTTTCTATATAGAGGGAGCAAGTAGCTACAAGTAGGACAGTGTGGCTTTAATGTGAAAGAGAAACCGCAGGGGTGTTATCCCGGAAAATGCAAATGTGGCAGGATTTTGCTCCATTATCAAATTTTGGATTTCGAAGCCTATCAATACGCTTGCTCATCCAATAAAAATACTTCAGGACTTCTGATATAATTATCCAAGATCAAAGATCACGAAATTCGTGAAATTAGTGGTGATAAAATTCGTTCAATTTTCTTCGTTTTTTCCCGATTGAAGTTGAGTCTCGATTGAGTCTACTTCTTCCACGGGAAATCGTCTCCCTCGGGATCGTCCATGACTTCGTCTCTTGCCTTCGAGCAGACGATAGCTCCGGTCTTGCTATCGATGATGATGAAGGTCGGGATTCCTTCCACGCTGAACTTCGTACCCAGCTTCCCCTACAATGAAACAGAACGAAAAACAGATGAATATTGTGATGTTCTTGACGTATCTTGTATGCAAGGAGAACAAGTATGGAAAATGATGTCCATCATGCAGCAAAGGGGGAGAAATAAAGCCGAGCTAGTTCAGTTAAGTTGGAGGGGGAACTGAATTCAGACAACAGGGGCGGATCTAGCTTTTTGCTAAGGGGGGGGTTTGACCAAAATAATGACGATGCAGAGCATCGTCCACGAGCCGCGTAGCGGCGAGCCGATTTTTTTTGGGGTGTTTATTTGAACCCCGTAAGTGATGTTTTCCTGGCATCTATTAACACAATGGAGACCATAAAAAGCAGTGCATGATAACGTCTGTTTAAATCAAGTAACAGCTTAATACACAGTTATATCCAGCCTTTTTATCATGTGTTTGGTTAAGTTACCAGATGAGTTGAATATCTTCTCACAATATTTGCACTTGAAAGGGTTTCTCTCCAGCGTGCGTTCTTTTTTCTTTTTTTTTTTCTTTCTTTCTTTTTTTTTTTTTTTTTTTTTTTTTTTGGGCCGCCCAAGGGGGGGGGGGGTTTGAACCCCCTAAACCCCCCCCGTAGATCCGCGCCTGAGACAAGGATTAAGAGGCGAGAACAGTAAAACGCCGGAAACGTTTTCTTTCTCTAGTGCGCTTCGCGTGCTCACTACCACCCCCTTAAATAAAATCTTAGCTACCCACTTTTTCAGTGCAGTTAAAAACTACGAGTAAAAGTTGAATAGGGAGAGGGGGTCAAAGCGGTAGCTGCCCCTCTTGTTAATTTTAAAAAATGTTGAAAAATGAAAGAGCGGAAATATCTCCGCGTGGTAATTGCTCCCCCTCTCTCTCTCTCTCTCTCTCTCTCTCTTTCTCTCTTGCTAACACTTTCTTTCTCCCGATCATGACAGTGCCATAATTTGTGTCAAACAGATGTCAGAAATGTCAGTAATTCCAGACCCTGCGTTTTCCATCAAATGCAGAAAGGAATTAAACCCCGGCCCCCCCCCCCCCCCCCCCCACTCAGAGGTCGGAATGACCGCATGCGTGTTGCCAAAATGTCCGGTAAAGGGGTACTTTTCGTGCGACAAAGTCCGGCCCGAGAATTGTAAAAAAAAAAGGGGTGTATTTGACTTTTCACCCGGAGATTTCTTTAAAAAGGGGGTGTTTTTTTTTTTCTCTCTCATCTTTTTGGACTCCTGAGAAATTATTCCGAATTTAGGGGGGTACATTGAGCATTTTTCCTGATTTAGGGGGGTCTCCAAGGCAGGAAAAGCCCGCGAAAAGCCCGCGAAAGGGGGGTTCGGAAATGTTGGCAGTCCTCAGATAGGGGGTGCTTTCAAAAAGAGGGTACGAGCATATGCGTACCCTAAATAACACTGAGTGGGGGGGGGGGGGGCCGGGAATTAAACCTGGGAGGTGAAAACAAAATCTCACCCTTCCCTTCCGACATTCATGTTTACCTGCACCTATAGCTGCGATGATTTAAAAGCAATGTGATAACAGCATACTTCGCCATTAGAAAACATGTATAATGCCTTTACTTCCTTCCTTCTCTATCTCTTTCTCTATGATCACTATGAACATGACGGACAAAGAAAGAGGACAAAATATGCAGTTCCTCATGCATTCTACCCTCAACCATTGCTATGGTAGACAAAGGAACATCCCCCACTGCTATTATGTAAAAATGTGTAGAACAGGTGAATATGCATGTGACACCTGTTCTACACATTTTTACATAATAGCAGCGAAGTGATGTTCCTTTGTCTACCACAGCAATTGTTGAGGGTAGAATGAGGAACTGTATATTTTGTGCTCTTTCTTTATCTTTCTCTTTCTCTATAATAGCTCTCTTTTTATCCAAATCATCGTGTGACGCGTGCCAAACAGATGTTTGAAATTTGAGGAAATTGTAACAGCTATTATAAACATGCCAAAAAATACAAAATATATGCCATCTCCCATCAAAAAATGTATTTCTTAATTGTTCAATAAAAGAGTACGCCCCCCCCCCACCCCTCACTGGCAATTTTCCAGCAAGCTCATCTGAAATAATTGAGGGGGGGGGCTCATCGTGGCCATGCTTTGCACTTCAGAACTCACCTTTCTCTCTCGGTCAACGTAGGGCAGGCTTAACCATGGCATGTCTTTAAAGTAACCATCAAAGTCCTCTTGGCTCTGATCTGAACTCACGAAGACAATCTCCAGCTTGCCTTCATTTTTCTTCGTGAAGGCCTTGTAAAACTCAGCCAGAGTCGGGGTGAACATTCGGCAAGGGGGGCACCAGTGAGCCGAAAAATAGAGGCCTACGTATCTGCCAGATCCAGCGAGAGTCGATGTCGCTACTTCGGCCCCACCCGCTCCATGTAATGTTTCTCCAAACAGCTCAACAAGCGCCATGATCAGAGAGTGTTCGAGAGAATTAATGACTGAACGAAAGTGTGACAGAACAACAACTACGATGTGCACTAACTTATGTCCTAATGATTGTACAGCGGCGGTTTGCCGTGCTTTATACCTGGGGATCAGAAAGCAATTGACGATGACGTAACAATTATTATAAACACGCTTATTCCAGACATTACGTAATGCCCTAAGAATATTCATATACTCGACTGAAACCACGCGTAGTCCATGCTGAAACAAAATCAATAGTCACCGTTATTTCACTGACGTGGTGCAATCCGGAGGTTAGTGTTGAGCTGGCAACAAGAAAACATTCACCGGATGAGTAACGCGGAGGATATAGACATGTTTCTGATGATACTATCTTTCGTTTCTCAGTATAGAACATTGTAGAAAAATTGACTATTTTTTTCGTTCATATAATTATGATTATGGATGTTTAATTTTTAAGAATCCTTAGGGACGAACTAGGCATAACTAGGTATTTTAAAACTCAGTGATACAGTGATAGATAGAGTCAGTGTAGCATCTTTCGTAGGAATTTAAATTGAAACCTTGATGTGGAAGGAGCAAATTCAGAACATTAATAAGTGTATATATACGGAGGAAGATTAGACTGCTGTGGAAGTTGAGACATAGCAACAACTAATGAATGCTAAGATAGATAGGCTAATGTGCACATCGCATGATAGCAGGTGATTTGTGGCTTGTGGAGAGAAACTTGCATAAATTGAAATACATACATTCAAACATGTCGACTGAATACAATTTTATGAAGAGGTATAATTATTGAACATGTTTCTTTCAAAATAATGTAGCGTTAATTCCATCGAGGCTAAGTATGCAGGTAACAGTATGAGATTTGACAAGATATGATATCTAAAAAACTACTGCGACCGATTTAGACCGGATAGTCGTCAGTCAGTTTGACATGTGAAGCCCCCCCCCCCCCCCCCAAAAAAAAAAAAAAAAAAAAAAAAAAAAAAACAAACAAACAAACAAACAAAAACAAAAACTAAAACAAAAAACAAGAAAGCAAGGAGAGAGAGAACAAGTCCGTCAAATTCTAACTAGACTAAGCAGGTTAGGATAAAGGAGAAAATGAGAAGCACTGAATGAAATATCTCTGTAAAAAAATAGTAGTAATCATGAATCTTTGAATATTCGTCAGTTTACTAAACAATCGGCTTCCTTTTTGTATACATGTTACCTGGCAGTTTTATCCATGATATAGGTTATAAAAAGAACCTTTAGATCATCCCTCTGGACCATTGTTCTCTCTGTCTGTCTCTGTCTGTCTCTGTCTCTCTCCCTCTCTCTCTCTCCCTCTCTCTCTCCCTCTCTCTCTCTCTCTATCTATCTCAGTCTCTATCTTTTGTTGACACCCCTTCCCTTACATCATCTTTCCTCCACTCTTTCGCTATGTCATTCCAAAGCCTACCATAGCGACAGAGAGGAGGAAAGTTTATCGATTATGTTTGTATAATGACAACAAAGATTATAAGCGCATTATGCGTAAAATAAACTGTCAACTATAAATTGGCAAACATTGGCAACTGAAACTCCCATTTTAGACATTATAGATAGGTGTTAGAGAATGCACTTTACAAAAATGATAGTAGAAATATTTACGCATGACTTTACGAACGACTCGTATATGAAAAGCCAAATTGGATGCTCAATCATTATTGATTATTATTTATTAAGTTCAACTGTGCAGATGTAGATTAACATTCTTATTATAACAAACGTTTTTAATGCAAAGTATATATTTTTTTTGCCATAATTTAATTGAGGTTATTGGAAATTTCAGAAAAAACTTTGGGCATCCTATCTGGCACTTCATATACAAGTCGTTCGTAAAGTCATGCGTAACTTTACGAACTCTTTATGAAACACCCCCAGGTATTACAGAAATGAAACTAGATTATTACAGACTCGTATTTTCTTTCATATATCTACAAGAAAAAGAGACATTTTGGTACACGAATAGTTGAAATTGCTCTAATTCATCAATTTAAAAGTGTGTATTAAAATGGCAAAATTTTATTTTTATTTGAAAATAGTTACTCTAAATCTGATATCAGAAATTTATTGGCAAATAAATAGAGTAGTTTTTTTAATGAAATATTCACATGTTTTGATAGGATGGTCATAACACGCAAAAGTAGAACATGTGGAAAGGAAAATGATACAAAAAACAAAATTATACGCGTACATGACCTCATCGACCCCCCCCCCCCCACCCCCATCATGCGTCTCAGTCAAATTTAAGACATGAGTTAAAAGAAAACGCATATAAAGGGGTGATTTTTTTTTTATAGATTGGACGCGGTCCGCGCGATGCCGCTTTAAAGGGACTTGGTAACATCGTTCAGATGAGTGGTGCTAAGGTAGTGAACTCAATGCTAGATGTGCAATTAAAGATAATCTGAAAGTTTGAGTGAATACTATCGGCCTCCCCCTGTAGGTCAAGGAGACGAAGGAGTCACTATTATTAATGATAACAATTGGGAAAAACTGATCTGATCGATTCCTTAATTCTCCCAACTATATCTTAATATATTACAGGGGCGGATCCAGGAATTTCTTCCCGGGGGGGGGGGGGGGGGCACATGAGGGGGCACACGGTGGGTAAGAGAACATATATATATTTTTGTTTTAGTCCCCCCAAAAATCGCAAAGACTCAGCCAGACGCTGAATAAGCGGGGGGGGGGGGTAAGAGGACACTTTTCATCTTTTTAGGTCTGCCATTTTTTTTTTCAATAAAAAAAAATGATTTAATTTTTGGGGTCGGGGGGGAGCACAACGTCCCTCTTTTTCGGTGCATTTTTGACGAATTTAGGGCTGATTTTAGCATATTTTTTTGGCCGGGGGGGAGCACGTGCCCCCTCCCCCCCCCCCCCCCCCCCCCCTAGATCCGTCCCTGCGCACACACGCGCGCACACAACACACATGTATATATATTTCCCCTTTTCTGATTAAGCATTGATTTTTTTTTTATCAAGATCGCTCAATGTTTAAGTGGCATAACCCTGACAGTCTTTCCCTTTAGTACACATTCACTGCCACCATCATGTCATCATCATCATCATTGTCATCATCTTAATCTTCATCATCATCATCATTATCATCATCATCATCATGAAGCACAACATCTGCCAATACGCACCATGAGGCCAGCGGCCACTCAACTTTTTGTACGAGAACAAGAATTCCCGACAAAAAGTAACAGTTTGGGTGGGTCTGGTCGGGAATGGAACGCTTATTTGTGTGCGTGTGCCTGTGCGTGTGCGTGTGTGTGTGTGTGTGTGTGTGTGCGCGCGCATGTGTATGTGCATGTGTGCGTGTGTGCAGGGGTGCGTGAATGTGTGTATTTTTGTCTGTCTGGCTGTCTTTGTTCAAAACACTATTTTATTCCTCACCCAGCAACTTGGCGCAGGTGAGATCTGGCAGTCTTGTAAAGGATGTCTGATGTTCAGTCATGCATGCAGAGATTCAAATGAAAATGGTACCTAAATGTACTGGGAGGATAACTCTATTATAACATATCATGAAACCCATGATAAAATATTCATACCTCAAACAATACAACTTTTAAAAAGTGGGACATTTTTTCTGACTCACTCTGTACAGCGCACATGTCCGTCACGTTGTGACGCTCCTGGCGCTGCCCCGATTATACCATGGCTTTAGCAAGGCGGCAAATACGGCGCTCTAGCATTTCAAGGAATTAATTCCTGCCAGGTACCCATTTGCATCACCTAGGTTGAGTGTGGCAAATGTAGATCAATGCTTGCAAAATGTCGTGCCGCGGCGGGACTCGAACCACGGACCTTGTGATCGACAGTCCGGCGACGTACCCACTCGATAATGAAATAAACCTTAAAAAGAATCGTTTTTGATAAAACTTTAAAAGTTTACGCCGTTACTTAAGTTGTAATGAAGTTATTGCAATTTTCAGATTTAATGGCTAGAGAGACAGAGAGAAGGAGAGAGAGAGAGGGAGAGAGAGAGATACGTGGCATGCGCATCGACTGAATATGGGAGAAGTCTAGGAATACGAATTACGGTTACATTTGGCCTCACTTTGTTATAACGAGTCACGCAAATTGGTTTCATGCTATAATCGTTGAAACAAGAAAACAAAAATGCAAGGAAAAAAACCAAAAGCATCATAAGGATAATGTCACTTTAATATTCCTGCAATCTATTTGGTAACATTCAGTATTTTCAAAATATCTAATCGGTATGCATGGGTACAGATCCGGAGTTTCTGAAGATTTTTTTTTTTTTTTTTTTTTTTTTTTTTTGGGGGGGGGGGGGGGTCCGTATAATATTTGATAAGCCCAAATCAAGAAAATATGTACTTGAACCCCCCAAAAGAAAGTATAGGGTAGGTGCAAGGAATTGGAGACTACCAAGCTTGAACCCATCACTCTCTGTCAGTGTTGGCTCCATTATTGCTATAGCGCCATTTGTGGCCTTTAATGACACTACTGCATATATCCAATTCATTTCGAAGACTACAATGTGCCCTTTCTCCGAGAAAATTGGCAAAATTGACCAAGGTAACCAATTTTGATCGTAAAATTTTGCTCCGATATAAAAACACAATTTTCGTTGAATGTTGTCGTGTATACAAATATTTAGGGGTGGCTCTTAAAAAGTAGTTTTAAAATGAAGTTTATGAAGTGTGCCAACCATCACAAAAAACTTATGGCCATTGTATGTTGCGAATGGGTGTTGCACAGCACATTATTAATGTTGTCTGATCAGAAATGTGTGCAGGCAATGGGGGATACCAGGTTCAAGATTTATTATTATTATTATTATTATTATTAATTTATTGGTATATAATGATCGACCAGCAGCACAAGGCTGAAAGGGTCAATTTACAAAGGTACAGTGATGTGAATTATAAACATGTAGAATAGCATTACGAAACATAGTAAATAAATCTGTAAAATAATGACAATACAGCAGAATTATATTGCATTCGTTTATGCACATTACGTGAAAGGATGTACTAGCAGAAGATATACGAGAGCAGGGGAAGGTATATGGCTCATGAAAGTGAGAGTGGTCAAGCGAATGGAGTAGAGAGAGAGGATGGGAGAAAAGGGGAGGTACAAAGAGAGAAAGGAAGAGAGAGAGAGAGAGAGATAGATAGAGAGAGAGAGAGAGAGAGAGAGCAGGGAATGGAATGATCATAATTAAATAAACATATTATTCCTAATTACAGTCATGTAATACATTAATGAAAATTAAGAGAGTCAGATTTCGGCGAGACAACAATAATCATCATACAAGTACATGATAAAAGAGAGAAAAGGGAAGGTTAAAAGAAAAAAAGAAGGAGAGAAGTTTGAAGAGAGAGAAAGAGAGAGAGAGAGAGAGAGAGATGGGGGGTTCCATGACATTTGCTCCGGCGACAATTGCTCCGCTGTAAATTTCATACACTAATCGAATGGCTAACTTCAACCCTGGATTCAACACTATACCCTACCCTAAACCTAACCCTAAACCTAACATAAAACCCTATTGAAACCCTAACCCTAACCCTACATCTTAGACGAAATAAAGCCCGGAGCAATTGTCGCAGGAGCAAATGTCGTGTCACCAGATGGGGTTCCATGGGGTCGTTTGTTGTAAATGTCGAGGACAATCAATGACCCGATACTGGTTAAATTACACTAAGTTCATTGGCTGCATATATCTCTTTCAAAAAGTGTTTGAACTAATAGTGTGGTACGGTTTGTCACTGAAACAGCTCCCGTAGGATTTTTGTGCCAAAGTTGATTTTTTTTTTTTTTGTTGCATTTTTGGATTCATTGGGTCCAAGCTATCAGAAATTAATGGGGCTCAAATTTTCCCGAAGACACCAAATTTCCCTATTGCGCGTTATATAAGCCATTTTGGCGCCACATATGGACCCCCCCCCCCCCCCCCAGGAAATGAAGGAGGGGTCTGAAAATTTGAACCCCATCATTTTTGGCCAATTACCTGCACATGTAGGTAATGTTAGACCTTTGGTGCTGACGTCATTAAACATTGTTATCTTATTAATCAGTTACATCATGCCCACACTTTTGTTACCAAATAAAGAGAAGAAGTTACTGAAGAGAATACAACAATTTCTGTATATGAAGAGCTTAATTCCAAAAGGCGCTAAATCCATTTTTTACCAAAATGGAGTTATTAGTATGAGTACATACCAGTTGCACATGCGCATTTAAATCACCATTCCTTTTCTCAAAATAATTTTCAGAAATATGAAAAAAATTGACACAAACAATTTGTTTAGTTCCAAAAGGCGCTAAATCCAAAAGTGTTTAATTCCAAAAGGCGCTATATCCACCTTGTGTGTTTTGATCAATCAGAGCGCAGTATTGTTCTAGTGACCCGGATTGACAACAGCCTTTAGCTTGCTGCTTGCATCGAGTCTCGAGATCGATCGTATTTCTGCAGTATTTACAGTGTTTTGATAGTCTTTAGCTCACTTAGCAGCTTGGATGAGGGAGGAGTGCTAGTTGAGAGAACCAACAATCCAAGAAAAAGGAAGCGTAATGAAAAATAATGGGCCAAAAACCAGAACAAGAAAGATCATAACACCGCTCCTGGTAAGTTTAGTCCCACTTACTCATTTTTGTGTTAGTGTGTAATTAAGTGCAGATGCATTTGCATTATATTGCATTGAATGAATTGTAATACTAATAGGTAATAGTCTAACTAAGACTATTGCAATTCTGTTTGCATGTAGTATGAGCTCAAGGCTTAACCAAAACGAATTACTAGATACAATTTTGTAATTGAACTGAGGCCGTGAGGGTAAATTACGTGTTTACTGCCGCGCCACGGCTTCGCCTTCGCCGGCTTCAGTTACTGGTCACTGGCTTTGGTCACTATCTGCCCTGGACCTGGTGCAGTAGTTTATGGATATTTCACAAGCCTTTGTTACACCATGCCATAGCATAAGTGTAATGATAATTTGCCATCTATTAAGAAAATATCTGCTGTAAGTCTGTAACAAACATTTTGTATTTGAGTGCAGTCATAATCAGTGTTTTGTTAAATTTGAGGAATTAGTTTTCGTGGAATACCTGATGTTTACCATGATGACTTTCGTTTTATCGATAGGGAAGCAACCAGCCATTGGATGCCAGCACATGCCTCACAGCTTTTGTAAGGTGTCTTTGCTAACAGAAGGAGACATCACAGATACTTTCCAGGACTGCTACAGAGACTCGAACAACCGCGGCAAGATTAATTCATCATGTGCCACTTACAACTCAATCCAGTCATGCGCCATCAAGGAAATGGTCCACAACCAAGGAGAGAGCGGAACTATGCTCCAACATTTCAAGTAAGTTTTTAATTGAGTCATTAAAAAAAATAATCATTTGCTTGCAAATCAAATTGTTGAATACAGATCATACACAATTGCCAGAATTTATACCAATTATCTCATTGCAATAATTTTCTGTTAATTTTAATTGAGTTGTTTAGTCGCTGGGGTTTTTCTTGCTACTGGGGGGGGGGGGGGGGGGGGGGCTTACATTTTTTGTCATGTGTAATATGCTATCTATGTTACACATGTCAAACTAGGTCGTAATGTTGTTTTTATTTTATACCGGGTAGCGTCGGTTGAACCATAAACAACTGGGTCAAAGTGAATTCACGAATTCCCCTCGCGCAATCAACATACACTGCATGTCACACTGTGCAAAAAAATGTGCACTCGCGCAATGCAATTCTGTATGTAGATAACATGCACGAGCAGTATAGGCAAGGACAGTTGGTGGGAGGGGGGGGGGGGCTATGCTTAGTATTACAAACTTGTTTATTTAGATTAAATGAAACCAACAAAAATAAACTTTTCATGTACGGTTTTTGTGATTTATAATACAGGTAGCTGGAAATGTCCATTAACAATGTTTCACTTTTAATTTACAGATAACGACACAGCAAGGGGAAAATGTGGAGGTGTGCTCCGGAAGATTCAGATCCATCCTTGTACTGGTAGGAAACGTCTGGGCAACCTAATGAAGTACGCCTGCCATTCAAAATCACAGGGGCCAAACGCATCTACATGAGACCAGCTCCAGCCCCAGTCACTGTCGCCAAGTATTATAGCGCACCTGGAGATGAGTACACCATATTGAAGAGAGGAAAGAGATGGAGTACTCTTCTGGTCAATCAGCTCCCATTGTTAAGCTGTGTAAAGCCAGCGAAGCAGCGGGATGTAGCAAATCTTATACGAGCGATGGGGGTGGAGCTTCAAGTGGACCCGCTAGTAGGGTATGGGCCACGCAACTTCATTCAGGAAGTAGGTGCCTTTTACAAAGAGGTGTGCGCACTTACTGATGCAATGGACGTAGACAGTGATGAGGACGAAGGCATCATTGCTGCCTATGAAGATTGACATTTGATTTCATGCCTTTTACACAGTTAATGGATCAGTTTAAACTATTTAATTCAAGAACAGAGAAGGCTTCTAAAATGTGCATTCATTGAGCAGTGCAGTTGGAATCAAATCCCGTTTTATTACCCATGTATGCATTTTGTTGTAAGTAGCGCTGGTAATTATTAATGCAAATTTACTAAACCAGAATGCATGCACACAGATAATTAATATTTGACGCTTTGCTACCTTCACTGTATAATAACAACTAATTGATTGTGGCTAATCTCACAACTTTACAGTAGATTGTAGGCCTACTGATATTGTATGGGTAGAGTTTTATTGCTCCTACTTCCATTAGGATGTTAACAAACAATTATTCAAATAATATGTATGCATAATCAGCACTCAAGTATGTCTTTTATCTGCTGTTTATGAGGAGTGAGTTACATTAGTGAACTATGAATACTTTCCATTGTAAGGTATCTTCTTGTTGACATTCATATGATATTGTTAAAGAAACTGTACATTAATGACTGTATGTTAATTATTTAAGTACTTGCCAATTCTTGTATGTCTTAATTAACTCACCGTTATGACATGAGATAATGAGTAAAGCAAATTTACAAGATTTTCAAATTTCACACAATACAAGTCTTTACTGCCTGTTTATTTTGTCAATTTAAAAATGTGCTGAGTCACCCGAGTGGTTGTATTTTTGTTACAAGTTGAATAGAGAGAACATTTTTATGATTGAAGTTGTCCATGTACTAACTATTTGCGAAATGTGTAACATTTTGATTGAAATTAGTGTGGAGCGAAAACGTCTAGAATAATGAGATGTGAGAAGTATGTTCAACATAATGTAGGCTTTCAATGTGTTAAATGGATAGATATGTGTGTGTTAGACCCTGAATTATAATTAAAGAAGTATGTTATTACATCCGAACATCATTCTTAAAACCCCAAAAAATAAAAATTTGAAATGCGGAATGACACATCAAAATTTTAATTCCAAAAGGCGCTAAATCCTTGTTTAGTTCCAAAAGGCGCTAAATCCGAACAAATTGAAAAAATAAAAAAATATTAAAAAATAATTACTATGGCAGGATTTCTTTAAGCAATATTTTAATGATCTTTGGGGTAGATCTTTGAACTGTGTGAAAATTTGGCGGTTTCGTTGAAACGAAAGTGGTCTAACAGAAAACCTTGATTTACTCGAAAACGCCAAAAGTGGATTTAGCGCCTTTTGGAATTAAACTCTTCATATGTAACATTTTTCATGTTTATGTAAATTATGTAAATGTACTTAAGGGTCTCCAATTCCCTACACCTACCCTAGGCATTATCATAAAAATGCATTTTTGGTCCAAAAAATATGTGTATAACGTTCAACCACACAAAAGGGTACATGTAAGTATCACATTAGCATTTGGGGAGTGATGGGGCTCTAAGCCGGGGGGTCCTCACGTTTAGCAGTAACGACGAGGGCGGCACAACATGTTGACAATCGTCTTTCGAAAGAGCGGCTGCGACACCAAATAACAGATAGGATTAAAGAAGCTGTTGGCGAACTGAACCCAGACGAAAAAACTGCTTCACATCTCTCGGCAGGTTCTCGTAAGCAATGAGCTGTGGATCGATGGCGTACAGGAAATAGATGATGGAATTAGGTATCCAGGCGATGGCGAAGGAAAAAACTATGTAGGATAGGGTACGGGTGGCCTTCTGCATTTCATTGGTAGATTCGCGGTTGGCAGTAGCAGGACGGTTACTATTGGCTTCCACCTGTAGGTCAAGGAGTCAAAGAAATAGGTTTTAGATTATAATCGTTCAACAAAATGCAAACAAAAGCGAGGAATCATGAGGACAATGCCACTTGATAATTCTGCAATCTCCAGAAATGCATTAACTCTACAGTATCGATTTCCAAGGGGAAAATCTTCATTGTATCTTTCTGCACAATGCATCCTTCTTTTACCGCTTCTTGAATTCATCGTTAAAAGACTCGCAATAATCTAAAGATGCATCACCGGTTCTTTCATTCCTAATGGCGTAACGGTCTGAATTCAGAGTTATTCTCGTATAGGCGCAATCATACCTTCGTCTTAATTCAAAGGCCAGTCAAGATAATTCATCACATCGGAAGCTTAAAGATCCATTAGGCCTTAAAAAGGAGTTCGGTCATGACAATAGTTGAATCAGTTCATTACAATACCCCATCCTCCAACAAATTTCAATAACTCCCACTCTTCCACTGAAGGATAATCTTCCTTTCAAACAAAGTGCAAAGAATAGTATGGCATTTTTCCTTGCAGTTAAAAAGCACTTCAATATCTTTCCCTCAACGTAATCTAATTACAGCTTAACAATGATAGGAACAATTCAAAAATTCGAGTTGAGTCTCCACATTTGAATAGGGCCTTTAATCGGTTCACGGTGTCGGGTTTTCTTTTAATATCTAACGGAAAGGTAACCAAGGAAACAAAATTTCTCCGACATGTCCAAGGTTTTTGACAAGTTCTTACAAAAGTTACCTAGGAAACCCGACTTGCATCATCACCCAGCCCCCAAACATTACACAAAAATAAAGAATACTTCCTTTAATGCACATCTATACATTTCTTCTGTTATGAAACTGAATATTCTGAAATACCATGAACAGAATTTAATTGAATTGTGGCCGAGTCGGATGATTATAATGCGTCAAAATAAAAAGGGCAAAGTAAAAGGATAACCCGTATTTGCCTCTTTTGTTTCCTTCTGTAGTGTTAATGCTTTTCGTCAAGAAAATGTAGGCTAATAATTCACTGCACAAAATAAAGATGTATCATTATAATTATGCAAACGCTATTAACTTCTTAGTTTCTTTCATGAATCTGAATGTTCCCCTTCTTCTTTTGTCAAGAAAGTATAGGCTATTCATCATAAATTGCACAAAGATTTTATACAAAATCACTCCTTTAATGCACATGCTATACACTTTTTTTTTTACTCTGATATTCTTGGTCACCATAAAAAGAAATTGTTGAATTGTGCCCGAGTCTTTTTTTAATGCGAGGACAAATTGATAACAAAACGGGAAGTATTAAAGTAATTTTTTTTTTAATGAAAACAAAAAAAGTGTGCCTCTCTTTTTTCTTCATCACCCCGATTTAGCCGAGGTTTCCCGATATCATGAGCTTTGATTAATCAGGAGTCGCATTTCTGTAAGAAATAGACAATTCTTGTAGTTTATTGACTTATGATTTAATTTTTTGAAAACAATATTTAGTTCGAGGTCTAAACAATTATAAATAGAACTAACTTATAAAACCAAACAGGTCAAGGATTCAAATTTGAGGAGTTGAATTCGTGTTCAAATTATGTTCAAATTGAATTTACGAAAATAGTATCCTTCAACCAAATTTATTAAAGTAGATATTCATTGATTTTAAAAACTAACTTTATTTTCATTATTGCAAAGTTGAAACTTCGATTCGACAAGGTAATCAACATTCAATGCTTGGAAACATTCGAAGTAATGATTATTATGAATTACAAAACGCTTAAATACAGCCCCGGCATAGCACCTGAAGAGCTCTCCGAACGCTGTTGAGATGTGTGAGATCACAGGATGTACATGATTTGCACAAGCAGACGATATCCCATGACATCTCACACATTTTCAGTGCCTGTTTTTTCATCTTCTCTTGAGTTCTTTCTCTTACTTCACTACCGTCAAGCTAAACGTATAATCTATTGCCTCACTCTAAACCCCGCGCATGGTTTTATTTTGATGACAAATGCAGCGATACAAAAATAAAGGAATCCGTCGCTTGTAAACAAAATAAGACGCCATTGTATATTTAGCTGCACACACCACGGTATGGTCGGCGTTTCAAGAGGGAACAAATGCCGTGTTTAATATCATTCCGAGGGTTTTTCAATTTGAAAGTCTGCTTTCTTTGATTGTTAATTATATCCTGTGTATTTACAAACAAAACATTTTAGTTATCAAAATTGGTTTCATATCCCCTTTTGAATGGTTTGAAATGATATCACATTTATATACACTAAACTCATTATAGTTTGAGAAATAATAGCTTTGCAATTATGTTCATCCTTTATGGCATGTCATCTGCTTGGGCAGTATTGGTCCATTATGTGACGTCATTAAATAATAATAATAATAATAATATTTAATTTTTATATAGCGCTCAATACAAACGTCTCGTATATCCAGATGCTATGGAGGTGGTTGTATTTGTATTTTTATAAATCACCCGATATGTAGTTGACCTAAAACTTGTACGATGGCCATCTGTTAGCTTGCCAGTTTCTAATGATATGTTAGTTGACATATTTGTGATTTTCATTGAATTTCCACTTTAACAATATACTAATTCAATTTTTGTTGTTGAAAGATGTAAAATGAAAGAATCGTGCGTAAATGTGAATTAAACTATACTCTAACGTTCAAGGCAAAAAAATTAGGCTATTCTTCACGGTGGGTTAACATTTTTAAAAAATCTCTCTTTTTATGGGCTTACTTAGAATCACCAGTCATCGCGCCCGTTCTGGTGGTCGCGTTACACGATCTTTCGTGAAACTTCCCTAAATTTACCGTTGGGTTTTCAATAAGTTTTGGGTAAATTGGACCAGACTATTTGTAGATGTTTATTTTACAAACATTACCCCGACATTTCGTGAATAAAGAGGCATGTTTTCACAACAGGCCGGGTAACGCGACACCCGACCCGACGCGATGACCCGATAATTCGAAGTAAGCCGATTTTATGTATTTTTCTGAGTGCATTTCGTAAAAGCCATTAAGAAAGAGACCTCGAACATTCGATTTCATTAATGGGACTCTGTGGTTTTTTGCGGTTTTTGCATTTCGTGAATAAAGAGGCACGTTTTCACAACAGGCCGGGTAACGCGACCACCCGACCCACCCGACGCGATGACCCGATAATTTGAAGTAAGCCGATTTTATGTATTTTTCTGAGTGCATTTCGTAAAAGCCATTAAGAAAGAGACCTCGAATATTCGATTTCATTAATGGGACTCTGTGGTTTTTTGCGGTTTTTGCATTTCGTGAATAAAGAGGCACATTTTCACAACAGGCCGGGTAACGCGACCACCCGACCCAACCCGACGCGATGACCCGATAATTCGAAGTAAGCCGATTTTATGTATTTTTCTGAGTGCATTTTGTAAAAGCCATTAAGAAAGAGACCTCGAATATTCGATTTCATTAATGGGACTCTGTGGTTTTTTGCAGGCACGTAGCCAGAGTTCGATGTTTTTTTTTTTTTTTATTATTATTTTTTTTTTTTTGGGGGGGGGGGCACCTACATGTAATCGATCGAGGCAAAAAAAAAGGGGTCTAAAAAAGTTCAAGCGATCTTGGAAATTTTAGAGGGGGCACGTGCCCCCCCCCCCCCCCCCCCCCCCCCCCCCCCCCCTTCGTGCCCCCGTGGCTACGTGCCTGATTTGCCCAGGTGCTTTTATCCGTTCGTTCAATTTTTGTCGTTGGCTATCTTGATGTTCCAAACATTTTAGATTTAGATTTATTTATTTAAAGGTATAGACCAGTTTTGGTCATGCGTGGTATTGACCAGAACAGGTTGATCATCTAGCATTTAAGTATTGGTTTGTAGGCCTACTGCAAGGTTCTGGAATCATCAAAATGATAAGAAATTTGGCCCAGTCCGGGTGAAGTTACAAGCACTGTACACAGAAAGATGAATATGGGACTATGCGACATCTATCCAGGCCGGATCGATATGATAATTTACCAATATATAAATTAGAAGGCGGTTTCCCGGCAAAAATTGTATCATCACATATTAGTCAAAACATATTCTTTCACATGATTGGTAATGAGAGCTTCCATTTCATTTTTTGAAAGGGGGCTTTTCCAAAACTGGTCTATATCTTTAAAGTACTCCCTAATAAGTATATTTAATATCAGTTACGGGGATGGTTTTCTTGTTTAGCAATTTCATCGATTGAAAAGAACTAACTAATCATGTTAAGGTACCTCTTTAAATTCAGGTAAATGTAAGCTTCAATGAGTGTTCATGACATGGTATAGAACCTTATAAAATCCTATAATTCCGTATGCTTTAGAAGTATTAAACTTAATGCAGTGTGGATGTACGAATTTGTTGAATTTGGGCACAAAAATCCAAAGTCCAAAAAAGGGCTGTAAGTTTGAAAGGGGCATGATAAAAACATTTTTAGGGGCATATTGTACTTAAATACATGCCGAACTGGCTTTTATAAAAGGGCACAGGCTGTATTCCCTTAATCCATCCTTACATCATTCAGCACTGTTTGATGAATGGGGTAAAATGAAATTTAAAGAAATCCAATCCGATCCCATTTTAGAAAACAAAACCCGATCGAGATAAATCAAATTAAATCACATCAAATCAAATCGAATCGAATCAAATCAAATCAAATCGTATGATATGAAGACAAATTGAATTTTGATCGCATCACCTTCTGAAACCTTACCTTTCCGCCTTTGCCGGAGGTGTCGCCGTTGGTTTTCACTTGAGCGCTCGATTCCTGCATCTCCATCGTTCCACTGGATGACACATCACTGCAGACAGTCGACAGACTGGTCGAGTTCGACACCTCACCTCCACCATGTTTCCCGAATTGCTTGTTGATACTCTTGCCCCCGACCGTTTTCTTGATTTTGATGTAGATTCGGAGATAGAGGACGGAGATGACTGCGAGCGGGAGACAAAATGTCAAGACAGTCTGGAACATGTTGGCGACGGGGTATCTTGAGAACGAGGCGAGGCAGCTCTTCGTGGAGTTGGAATCAACGATGAAGTCCCAGACGGTGGTGTAGGACACCCAGAACCCGAAGGAGATGACCCAGGTAAGGATGTTGAGGATGACGGCTTTGCGCTTGTTTTTTGTCATATAGTGGTTGATGGGGTCGTAGGTCGCACGATGTCGATCGATGCAGATGATGACCACGCCGACGACAGAGACAGAAAATATTGAATACCGCAAACCTAGGTAAACCTTGCAGAATTCTGGGCTGCCTGGAAAGTAACCGGTGAACGTGTGGATGACACCGATGATTTGGATAAACCCAAGGCCGAGGTCAGAGATGGCGAGGTTGATGATGAAGTAGTTGTTGTAGGTGCGAAGACGCTTCTCGACCGCGAAGGCACAGAGGCTGAGCAGGTTGGTGACGATGATAAGGATGACGAGGCTCGTACCCAGGATAAGGCCTTGGAGGTTGTTGATCGACTTGTAACGCGTCGACCCGCCACCGCCACCGACGATCATCTCGACCGTGGTCACGACGGCATCGTCACTGACATCGTCGAAGAAAGATGTATACGGCTCCACGCTTACAGACAGGTTTGTCATCCTACCTTCAGTTTCGTTTGGTTTGAAATTGAAAACTTTGACGCAAAAGTAAAAAAAAAGTAATGTGTAAGAAGCTGTTAGCTTTTTCACTACAAGCTGGTCTGATCGAAACTATAATATTGCAGCCTCACGATTTTGGGTACCGGGGTAATCGTATACAGAATGAAAATATGTTCCGCCGACACCATAATTTTATATAACTTTAGCATAGGTGTAACGTACGTCATCCTCCAGTATAACAAAAAACATAAGACACCCGCGCATGCATTGTGACCGTCGAAAGTTTGCAGTGTGCTAGAAGGACGTTCACTCATATCATAGTAGGGACTTTTAGATTGAGTGGACGAGAACACGACGAACGCCAACTGACCATGCGTGTCAACGTACTCAACTGCCCATGTTGACTACAATTAGAAATCTTATATTGCACTCGACGATAAACATGCATGCAGGAAGTAACACTATGAACATGACGGACAAGGGAACATCCCTTCACAGCTATTATGTAAAAATGTGTAGAACAGGTGAATATGCATGTTGCACCTGTTCTACACATTTTTACATAATAGCAGGGAAGGGATCGATGTTCCTTTGTCTACCTGAGGAACTGTATATTTTATGCGCACGTGGCATACTAGTACCGTACTAGATTTAGGGAAATCAAGGTTGACGCATTCTCGATCGCCGACTGAGACGACATGACGCATGCGCAGTGCCTTAAAATGACGTCACACGTTGCAGTCAAAGCTGTCGACGTGCAAATCTAAAAGTCCCTATTATATAGAGAGTTAAGCCCATCTGGCCCTGAGCAGGCTTTGGCATCAGATTTAAGAAGGATGAATTCCTAACCTTGGGTATCTAATGATAATTCTCCTCTTTTCTTCCTTACATGTAATATTTGTGAATTCATTTTTTAGAGAAGTGAGAAAGAGCGTACAAAAGGGAACGAGGGAGAGCGAGAGCGGGAAATAAGAGGTTACTATTTGAAAATAATTATCTATCCTTTTTTTCTTAAATATTGTTGCTTGTGAATTCAATTTGAGGAGAGAGAGAGGGAGAACTTATTTGTATTTAAAGCGTTGGGAGATAATTTTTCTCATGTTACATGTACATTTCAAAATAAAGTACAATCTATTTTTTTTGTGATCATAACATAACAATCAACAATACATCATAAATAACATGAAGATAAGTGATCAATAAGGAGTACTGATTTAACTGAGAGAAATGTAATGGGACCTACATCAAAGGACCTACATGTTTATTCTGTACATTTATAAATAATTTATATTGATTACGAATTCTTTACTATTTGTATTGACTTTTAATTCATTTATTAAAAGAATAAAGAGCATTAGAGGGGAAGATAGAGAAGATGGAGGGAGAAAGAATGACAAAGAGAGAGAGAGAGAGAGAGAGAAAAAAAAAAGAGAGAAATATTACAATACGGAGGTTGAGGAAGCATCATCGTTAAATTGCTTTAAACGCAAACTTCGAGTTTTTCTTTTAAGTTCTTACATGTAATATAATTTGTTTGCCCTCCCAACAGTCTTTTTTTTTCTTCAATGTTAATCTTAATTGTTAGTTAATGATGCATATTCCGGTGTTTTTAACGTATACATGAACAAACAAATTACTTTGTGCTATGCTAACTAAATTGCTTGGGTGACTACGCATTTTGACTACGCTTTAAACCGGGTGACTACGGGTATTGGTGCAAACGCATTATTTTGTATAAACAATTCCTTATTTCATTGTGTTTTAAATTCTCCCCTCTTAATTTTTATTGTTTCTTTTATCTACATTACTTTTTTTTCTTCCTGAACCTAAAACATACAAGCCCTGCTTTTTAATAGGTTCCTCATATTCTACTTTATCTATTATATATCAATTGAGAATCATTGACATGTGTTTATTTATACTACAATTGTAATGTATAATTTGTTATTTTATATGTTTGTTTATATTTTCTGTAAAATGTGGAACATTGAATACTGTATATTTTACGCAACCTTTTGGCGTCGTGTCCAGAGAATTTTTATCATTTACACTAATTTTCTATATCTCTATTGATAGATAAATTTGATTGATAATGAATCGCATCGCGCCCAGTGTATTTATATAATTTACATCAGGGGTGTTCACACCTACAGAAAAAGTAAGATTTAAAATTCAATTTTTGCATCGCGATCCAAAAATCTTCTTTTTTCGTGCGTGTGTGGGAGAATAATTTTACTAATCTTCGCGATTCGCATCGCAATCTAATTCGCAGCAAGTTTTACGATTTTCCAGAATAATCGCGATAGTCTACCGGTCGCTGTGTGTGAATGGTATCGAGAAATTTGTTAAAATATATAAAAATGATTTATTCAATCCTAGGATTCCGAGGGCGCACAGTTTATAGCATCAAGATTAAAACATGTGCAGTTCAAACGTTATGCCGTCAAGCGAGAATTCTCCCTGTGTGTGAGTGATCGCCAAAAAAAAAAAAAAAAAAAAAAAAAAAAAAAAAATTGCATCGCGATCCAAATCGCACTAAATTAACACGTGTGAACGGTCGCCAAAAAATATCGATCATGGCGTCGCGATCCAAATCGCACTAATTGTTATGTGTGAACGGGCCAACTGACTTTCTATTCCTTTATTCGTAACATATTTACCTACACAGGTGTTTTAAAAGAGCATAATAAGCTCTATAGAGCACCGACGCAGCTGTGTTCCCGTCTGCATGTTCTATTTACATTTGAATGCAATTCATCAATAATGATAACAATTTCTTATGCACATTTTATCAATCATAATTATTTTCTACCTTTATGACTCTTTATGACATATTGGTATTGCAATGGGGCAAACTAAAAACGTAACAATGAGCTCTGACGTCAGTGGCGGATCCAGGGGGAGCCCGGGCCCAATTCCCTGGCCAAAATAGGTTAAACAAAAAAGGATGCTTACGTTAAAGAAGATGGATCCCCCTGGCCAAAAAAAATTGTGCTCACTGCGTCCTCGGCTGAATCAGTTTGTAACTTCCACTGTTAGCTGGATTACAGGCGCACGCCCCCCATCGACCAGCCTACAATGTGAACAGGTTGGGCAATATTTTCCCAACACTTTGCCCAACGTTGTGCCAATAGTCAACCCAACCATCTATTGGGCGATATTTTGCCCAGTGGTATTGGTAAACGTAAGTACCCTACTTCACACGTGCATAATTGTTTCGTATTTTGTCCAAAATGTGGGCAAATATATGACCCTTCAACGGTAGCCAACTTGTTGGGAAAATCTTGGCCAGCTGTAGGGCAAAATACGAAACAATTATGCACGTACTTACGTTTACCAATACCACTGAGCAAATATTGCCCAATAGATGCCCAACCTTTTCACAGTGTAGGGATGACGGAAAATGGCAAAAGTCTAGGAATGGCGATTAAATTACACCTTTGGCCTCGTTCTGTATATAAACGAGTCAAGAAAATTGGTTTCAGGCTATAATCTTTACAACAAGAAAAACAAAATGCAAGGAAAAAACAATAAGCATCATGAGGATAATGTCACTTTAATATTTCTGCAATCTGCAGAAATGCATCAACTTAAACTCTAAAAAACAAGCCCAAGGGAAACTATTCATTGAATCTGCACAATAAATCCACCATTTACCGCTCCTTGAATTCATCGTGAAAAGTCTTTCATAAAATACGGAATAACTCAGAAAAGTATGAGCAATGGTACAATTCACACATTTTTTTCTCGATTGAACAACACGTCGGTAATAATGAAATAAACTTAAACATATTCATTTTTGACAAAAGTATACGCCGCTACTTCAGTTTTCATGAAGTTATTGATTTTTTTTATATAAGGTTTAATAGCGAGAGAGAAGAGAGAGAGAGAGAGAGAGAGAGAGCTCCGGTGTGAGCATCGACTATAGGATAGTGGTTCGCTTAATTCCGCTTACGGTATATAATTATATGAGTTCAGTGGACTGCGAGAACAGTGCATTAATATCTACAATATAATGGTAATAAATGTTAAATATTATGTACATACATGTAAACATGTAATTGGCACATACCTTTCTCTACAGAAAATAAAATGTTTTACTTCTATGTTATTTTTCTTGTTAGAGCACATAGAGATTATCATTAAAATATGCGCTGTGTTATCAATCGTATACTTGCTGTATTTAAAAAAAAACGAACAAATATTGACAAGTAGTAGTAATAATAATAATAATCCGGTTTTTTATATAGCGCTCAATACACCGATCCAACGATGTACCTAAGCGCTTTACAGATATATTATTACCCCGGTTATGGGATTCAGGCTTACCCGCACACAATGTGTGCACATTTTCCACTCCCTGGGGAGCATTCCAGCTAGTCGCCATTTTACAGGCGCACACTTGCTCGTTCAACCACATGAACGTTCGCATCCTACCGGGTACCCATTTAACACCTGGGTGGAGAGTAGCAAGTGCAGGTAAATATCTTGCAAAGGATATTAGTGCCGTGTCGGGATTCGAACCCTCGACCTTCGCATCTACAGTCAAGCGCCTTAAACCACTCGACCACGACACTCCCGCAGTAGTATTAGCTACCTTTCAGACAGAATTCAATACACCTCTGTAAATAATTTCCAGTTATCAATTAAAAATATTACCTGTGGGGTGCCTCAAGGTTCTCTTATTGACCCTCTTCTTTTCATACTATATAATGATTTCAAACGTTCATCTAATTGTTATCTTTCACATTAATATTTTTCTCTCTTGTCATGACCCATAAACTCTGCTAAATACAATTAACTCGGAATTAGTTATGGTTCAAAGTTGGATACAAGCCAATAAACTATCATTGAATGTTTACAAAACAAATTATATGGTATTTAGCAACACCATTGATCATCTTCCTGGTCCTATTCAAATTAATGGTACCGAACTAGAATTCGTTCAAAGTACAACATTCCTTAGAAATTAGAATTCATGTTGAACGCATATTGACATGGAAAGTGCATATTAATTAATTATGTAAATTATTATCAAGAACATTGGTGTTATAAATCATGTTAAAAATACATTTCAATTACCGGTTTTATCATCACTGTATACAACCCTTATTTTTCCTTACCTAAATTATGGGATTTTATCATGGGGAAACCCTTAAAAGACTTTATTTGATCGCATATTAATTTTGCAGAACCGTGCATTAAGAATAATCCATAATGTCTACTTTCGTTCCCACACTAACCACTTATTTTTACAAGACAAATTCTTAAAATTAATGATTCGTATTCTTGTTACATCGGTATCTTTATCTTCCAGCTAGTTAATAACGAGTTACCTCTCCCGATTTCCTCCATTTTTCAAAAAATAACGAGATACATT